CAGAACAGAGCAGGGTAACACTGCATGGTTCAAAATTGGGAAGGGTGTACGCCAGGGGTGCATCCTGTCTCCATACCTTTTCAACACATATGCAGAGCAGATTATCTGAGAGGCTGGGCTCTATGAGGAGAATTGTGGCATCAGGATTGGCGGAAGATCTATTAACAATCTGCGTTATGCGGATGACACAACCCTGCTTGCTGAAACTGAGGAGGATTCAAGGATACCCTGGAATAATAAACTTAGCTCCCAGGCCACACACATCACCCCAGGCATCAGCCTTTGCCAGGGGCTGAGTTTCAGGGTCTACCAGAACCAACCCTGGCTATTTGGGGAGGAGGCGGAGGTGGGCCAAGCCAGCCCAGCCCAAGGTCTGAAGTCACTGGCTATTTCTGAGACATCTGCCCCCCCACTGGCTCAGGGTGTGGCAGGAGGGTCCCATAAGCACCTGGGCCTGGATCGTGGCAGTTTTGGCATGATAGAAGACAACTCCAGCAGCTCTCTCTCTCTCCTTAAGAAGCCCCTGACTGTCCTGTGCCCGTCAAGTCTCATCAGATGGGGTACCACAATGGTCTGGTCACTCAAGATACCTGGAAACTCAGGCTGAGTCCAGTGCTAACATGCAGATTCCCAAATGCTGAAAATCCTGTCTCCCTCCCTCCACTAACTTCCTTGCCTCCTCCTCCAGGCCTCTCCCCACCAGACCCAGGGGACAGCAGAGGGCTCGCCCCTGGCCCACACCACCTCCCCTCACCCCCTGCCAGCCCGCCCTCTAGGCCACAGTGGGAACAGTCAGCCCACAGCTTCCAGTCTGTGGCTGGGGGCCCAGACCTCAGTCAGGAAGTGGGGGCGGGGTCCAGATGTTGTGAAAGCCCCCACAGCTCAGGCTGGAACATCTGGAGAGGGGCCCCCACCTCAGGCCAGCCAAACTGCCCTCCACCCAGCCTCTTCTCCTGGTGGTGCCTCTGGCTCTCCAGGAAGAGAATCCAGATCTCCACAAGGGACATGCCGCACTTGAGAAATCAGAAAGAAAAAGCATGTCCCCTCCCCCTGCCCTCACCAGGCTGGGCTTGCTGAACAGTAGCCTCAGTTTCCCTGTGATAGACAGAGTGGGGGCTGGGCGTGGGTGGTATTGGAGGGGGAAAGAGATCAGGAGGTCACCTCAGGGGGCCTCAGAAATGGAGAGTTTATGGCCATACAATGCCACAAACAGCTGGATGGCTTCCAGCTGGCTCTGCCCGGCCTCCCCTGGAAGTCCTGACTGGGCCCCTGGGGTGGGATGCTGGACTGGCCTGGGCAAGGGTAAGCTAGCTGGAACTGGGGCCTGCTCTGCTGGCCTTGGGGTAAGAGCAGGCCCCAAGTCATACAACACAGGCCTATCTGTCCTCCACACTTCTCACCCAACACGACCAGGGAATGTTCGCCCAAGCTCCTGGTCCAGCCTGCCCTGCAGGTATCCTCCACCTCAGGGTCACAGAAGTCAAAGACAAGCCCTAGAATACAGGGGAGGTGGGGGAGAGGGCAGGGAGACTGTTCTTAACCCAGCAGAAGGGAGACGGTGGGGTTACTGACTCCCCTACAAGCAATCTTGTGTCTATCTGAACCTCCATGCATAATTTCTTCCTCCTCTAGGCCTGGCACTGCCCCACTCCTCATTGGGGTCACTTGCATTGGGAGGGCTCTGCCCGTAGGGCGTCAGCCAAAGTAGGGAGACCCTGGAGGGGGTATCAGAGGTGGAGAGTTGTAGCCTTCCCTGACTGCTCCTCTGGGTGGGCCTACCAAACAAGGTGCATGGTTCAACAGTACTGCCTCTGTGTCATCCTCTCCTCAGATGTGGGGTCAGCACAAACGGCACTACCCATTGGTCACCCTTGGAACTTGGCCTGGATCTCCCAGCAGTCTTGTCTGGCATATGGGGTGGACGCCCCTGCTGTACCCTTTCTTAGACTGGCCTGTGAACACAGGTACGAGAAGAGGGTTCGAGGTGGCCAACATCCTCGACAGAGTATCCCAGGTCCACTCTGCCCCCCACCTACCCTCTACACCCAAAAGCTTCTTCACTGATTCCTCTGGAAAATACGCAAGCCCCAAAACCATGACATTCTTAAACTGGGACCCCTGAAAACCCAGGTCAAAGTTCATATTGGACCACTTTCTTTGCTGCTCTGCAGCAGTAAAGATGCATGGATACAGCTGGAGGCGGGGCAGGTAGGGTCTTGCCCCGCCCATTGCTCCTTCCCCTCGGTCTCATACTGCGAGCCCGGCCGACTCACAAGCCCCGCCTCAGCGCAGTCCCGCCCACTGGCCCGCCCCTCAGGGAGTCAGCGGGCCGCCCACGCCCTCCCTCCAGACTGCGCAGGCGCAGGCCTCATCCTCGACAAGGCGGCACTTCCGGGCTTGAGGTCGTGGCAGGACGTCTACCGGTGTGTGTTTAGGGGACCGTTCAGGAGTGGGCTCCCCCCTTGGATTGCCACCCGCCCGAGCCACCTGATGCCCGCGCGTGGTGGTGCCCAGGTGAGTGTACCCAATTGGGTGCGCGCCCAGGTGGGGCGCAGGTCTGAGATTTTGCCGCCTGCCATTGGACCAGACTCACTCTGGACGGACCCAGAGCATCCAGCCTGCCGAGCGTGGATGCTGCGAGACCCTCTGCCATCGAGTCCACTCTGTTTCTGGGTTCCACTCCGAGGCTTCCCTGGGAGGGGTGCTCACCTTACTTCTCCCTGATGCCCGGTCAGATACACCTGGTCCTGTTTTTCTTCTGAAATGTGTTGTGTGGCGTTGCAGTTCCTCCGATTTTGTATATGAAGAACTGGCTTGAACACCCGGTGGCGTTGATGGCAAGGCAGTCTCTGAACCGCAGAGTCATCAGTTCGAACCCACCAGCATCATCCCATAGGCAGTTAGCTTTCATAAAGTTTACAGCCTGGAAAACTTTATGGGGATGTTCTTGCTCAATCCTATAGAGTTGCTGTGCGTTGGAGTTGACCGGGAGGCAGTGTGTTTGAGAGAGGTTTTAAAATCCAGTTTGGGATAATTTTCCTTTATAGTATGTGATGTTTGTCTAATTTCATATTTCTGCAGGTAGAGACCTACTTGTCACAGCATCGTTTCCTTTTTGAACATTTCATTTATTGTTTTTGGACTTTTTCCCCCATTCAGTAATTAATGCACATCTTGTTTGGTGACATAAATTGCAATCCCCACAATGTAACAACAGTATTCTCATTTCTTGCCCGGGTTCCCCATTTCCATTTGTCCTGCTTCCTGTCCATTCCTGCCATCGGAACTCTGGTTTGGGGCAAATGCTGCCCTTTTGATCTGGTCTGTCTGATTGTTCTGAGTAGCATGATCCTCCTTGGTTGTGTTAACATGATTGTTGTTCAATGTGCTATTGCATACAAAATTCATATACCTTGTCTTTCTTTCATAATGCTTTGTGTTTCATACAATCCTTCATTCAAACTCTGTTTCATATGATCATTCCCATACATTGCATTTTAAAAAACCAATCACTATTGATCTATGTCCACTATCACCCCATCATTTCAAGTCCCCACTGGATCTTTTCTAATTGTCATCCTGTCCCTCCGTGCACCAAATTCTGTGACGCTGTGATCCCTGTCCTCCCCATCACCTCGCCCCTTCCCGTTCCCCCTCTGGACTTTTAAACACATCTTACTAGTTATCCTTCTGTTTTTACAATAATTGGCTTCTCACTTCACCGAAGAAGACATTCAGATGGCTAACAAGCACATGAAGAAATGTTCAAAATCCCCAGCTCTAAGAGAGATGCAGATTAAAACAACTATGAGATATCATCTCACCCCAGTCAGAATAGCAAAATTTAACAGAACAGCAAGCAACAAATGCTGGCGAGGTTGTGGAGAAACTGGAACCCTTATTCACTGTTGGTGAAAGTGTAAAATGGTGTAACCACTGTGGAAGGCGGTCAAATGGCAAATAGAGATACCATTTGACCCAGCAATTCCACTACTGGAAATATACCCTAAAGAATAATATACCATAACTGACATCCAAGCAGATATATGCACACCCATGTTTATTGCGGCTTTGTTCACAATAACAAGGAGTTGGAAACAACCTAAATGCCCATCAACAAACGAATGGATAGAGAAGCTGTGGTATATTCATACAATGGGATACTATGCTACATTGAAAAACAAGGAACTCATGCAATATTGTTTTAAATGAGTGACCCTGGAGGACATTATGTTGAGTGAAGTTTCTCAGTCACAAAAAGACAAATACTGCTGGTGCCACTGTTGTAAAACAGGACTGGCCTCGGGGTTGGGAGGAAACTGAGAAGGATGGGTTCAATAATGTATACTGCATTGAAACAGATGAGGGAGAAAACTGTTAAGAGGGAAAATTATTAGGGATTTTTGTCATGACAGGAGTCCAGAGCAAAGGCTGTATAGTGGAGTGGACCTGGGGGGGAGGAATTGTAAAACAATGAAATAATTTTTCTTTTACTTTTCCAAGAGGGTAGTGTACTAGAGGGGAAGGTTGGGAGGGGAGAAAAGTGCAACAATGAATGAATGGAAATCTAAAGTCTCTGTAAATTTTCATTGAAATTAATTAAAAAAAAAAGTAAAAAAAAAACCCCAATAATTGTCTTCTACAATACTTGTGTAAGGTGCTGTTGAGTCAGTTCTGACTTGTAGCAACCCAATGAAAGTAGATTGAACCCTTGCCCTATTTTGTGCCTTCCTGACAGTCTGCCATTGGTCAAGCCTATTGTTAACTGCCATCCAACCTGAGGGGGCATTTTCTGTCACCATATTGCACAGTGGTCTGTTGCTAGTTGTAGGGTCTTTGAGGACTTATTCCAGTCCTGCTTCTTAGTCTTTCTTAGTCTGGTAGTTCCACTGAAATGTGTCCACCATAGGTGACCCGTCTGGTATTTGAAATACTTATAACACAGCTTCTAGCACTGCAGCAACACAAACTACCACAGGACAGCAAACTGACAAAGGAGTGGTGGATTCGCTGTACAGGCCTGTCTGTTGTCTACTGTTTGGCTGAAACTTGACTCCTAGGGATGAGATTTAGAGGATTTTAGGAGTTTCACCTTCCTGGTCTTTTTTATGATTTGTCTTTTTAAATATTTATTTTAATTGTGATCTTAATGTACATTTTATCGAAAAGAATTGGAAGACACAGAAGAATTTCATGAAACAACATATGAGCAAGAGCCTATGGTGATGAAAGAAGAAGTTCAGGCTGCT